GATGCACCGCTCCAATGCCGAGACCTGAAGCATCACATTCAACTTCAAAAGTGTTATCGAAATCAGGAAGTACTAATACCAAAATGATACCAAAATGACTTCTTATCATTGATACAAGCGCCTATGCATACCACAAGGATCAATGAGGGAACTACTAATCCGCGAGTCCCATGAAGGAGGATTAATGGGACACTTCGGAGTGGATAAGACATTAAGTGTTCTTGTTGAACATTTTTTCTGGCCTCACCTCAAACGCGACGTCGAGAGATTCTGCGCAAGATGTGTCACTTGCATCAAAACAAAATCCAGGTCCCATCCTTACGGTCTTTATATGCCTTTACCTATACCTAACATGCCTTGGGTAGATATTTCTATGGATTTCGTGTTAGGTTTACCAACGATCAGGCACAAGGACTCAATTTTTGTAGTGGTGGATCGATTTTCAAAAATGGCACATTTCATACCATGTGCAAAGACAAATGATGCAACACAAACCGCCGACTTGTTCTTCAAGGAAGTAGTGCGCTTACATGGAATACCACGAACCATCGTCTCAGATCGAGATACGAAGTTCCTTGGACACTTTTGGCGAACACTTTGGCGAAAGCTAGGGACAAAGCTACTATTCTCCACAACATGCCACCCACAAACAGATGGACAGACCGAAGTGGTGAATCGCACACTCTCAGCTCTCTTAAGAGCCACGATCGGTAAAAATTTAAAAAATTGGCTAGATTGTATTCCTTACATTGAATTTGCTTACAATCGTGCTTGCCATTCGGCCACTAAGCTTTCCCCTTTTGAGATTGTCTACGGATTCAAGCCCACAACACCACTAGATCTTTCACCATTACCGCCTACGGAACAAACAAGCCAAGATGGTGTGGCTAAAGCCGAGGCCATCAAGAAACTACATGAAACAGTGAAAGAAAATCTCGAGAAAAAGTCTGCAAAGATAAAACAACAAGTTGACAAAGGAAGGAAGGAAATGATTTTTGAGCCTGGTGATTGGGTTTGGTTACACATGAGACCCGAAAGATTTCCAAACCAAAGGAAGTCCAAACTATCGCCGCGTGGAGATGGTCCATTCAAGATATTGGAACGCATCAACAACAATGCCTATCGACTCGAGCTTCCAGGTGAGTTAAAAATTTCAACAAGTTTCAATGTCGCTGATTTGGTGCCTTTTCTTGAAGGTGAACCGGTTCTGAGGACAGAACCCTCTCAAGAGGGAGAGAATGATGAGGACATGAGTTCACACCATACCGAAGTTGTCCGGGTTCCGACTATGTACCAACCACCTAGAACAAGGTCCGGTACAAAGACAATGCGGGAAGAATTCAACAAAGCTGTGGAGAGTTTGATAAGCTATAAAGAAATGGAGAACACCATCACACAATTCGATAATCTCACCCTTTGTAGCAATAAGCTTTAACAAGAAGAAAGAGAGGCCCAGGAGGAGCAACAAACCAAGCGTTTAGAGTCTAGACTTAAGTGTTGGCCCAAGCTTTTATGAACCAACAAGTGAAAGGCCTCTTCTCAAGACAAGTCAAGCCCAAGTTCTCTTTGTCATCACACCAAACGACGCCACTTAAGGAAACGTACGAGGAAGACGTCCCAAGGCCGAGAGCTTCCTCCCCAAGCTAAGGTATGCGTTTAAATCTTTTCAATTAAATGTCAAATTTTCTTTTCTTTTGCAGGTTGGTTGAAATTAGTCTAGATTTATTTTTGTCATTTATTTCTTAATTATTTGTTGCCTTTTATTCTCTTTTTCAAGACCCTAGAAGGTCGAGGCTGTCGACATATTAATAAGGTCCATTGCAGCCATTGTAGCTCACGTTTTTGCCTATTATCAATAAAGAGAGAATTTTCTTTAAGTGTTTACGAGTTCACCGATCTTGTGCGGGTTCTCCTGGATTAGTGAGTTCTTCGACTTATCACAATCTCACTCATCGATTGTGTGGCGTCCCTCGATCCATTCCATCCCTTAGCTGTAGCAGAGAGAACCGTATGGTCCTTTGTACCGGCTCCATCAACTCTGCTTACGACATCTACGTAGATAGAACCGTGTGGTCATCTACTTGGATCCTATCAACTCCTTGATCTTATATCATTAATCCTCCTTCATGGGACTCGCGGACTAGTAGTTCCCTCATTGATCCTTGTGGTATGCATAGGCGCTTGTGTCTCATTTTGGCTTCTTATCATCCATATAAACAATATTCGTCGGTATTGGTTTATTTGAATCAATCTAATTTAGTTGTTGACAAAAAGAAATAAAATTATCTAATGTAGTCTAAAATTTAAATCTAAAATAAAAATAAAACCATCATCTAATGTACTCCCAAAATCATAAGAAGCTTAAAATGAAATTAAGAGAAGAAAAAAAGATATGCTCAGACAATTGATTATATAGAAAAATAGAAAATTACTTAAAATCATATAATATTAGATAACTTATCTAAAAGAAAGATAAAGAAAAAGAAAAAAAGAATAGCTTATAATGTTTTGGTACATGGTCCATATCACAAAATGTTGTAAACCTATCTATTAAAAGGGTTTTGAAATTTTTATCCACGAACCCACGAGGAGTTGTCCGGTGGAGAGTCCGGCAAACATTAGAATTGTAATCTACAGAGAGTAACAGGAAGCCTGAGATCATAAAGATCCGGGATAGAAAAAATATATCCTACGAAGAGACTGCTTTACTGATCAATCCTAATCTTAATCCCTCAAGATACATCTAAAGAACAGTGGCATCTACAACCAATCAACTGTAGAAACAATCAATCTAGTCCAAAAATGTCTAGACTAAAACACATAAAGAGTGGAAGACCGAAGCACAATCATGTTTAGCAACTGAAAAAAGGTTGAGATCCTAAAGATTTCTGGACCGGTCAAACCTAATCTAAAACCATAAAGATCCTTCTAAAGAGTCAATCAACTGTAGAAAACAATCAATATTTTCCAAATTAAAACTACTTTTGTAGCTCAATCATATGCTTGGGATAATGTCAACCATGTCAATGCAGAGCTTTACATAAACAAACCTACAATGTAGTGTTTCAAGTTTCAACAAAAAAGTTCCTTTAAAAGAAAAATTAGCCAGGGTGGTTTACTTATGGGTCAGATTAGTAATTTTTACACCACTGGTCGGGGAAAAGTAGAAATTTATGCGGGCCTCTAATTATATGACAACTATGCTCCTTGTAGTCCAATGGGCAGAATAAAAGTCGGCCAAAATGTGGGTTTACCGCAATCAAAATATTTCCTGTTTTAAGGAAAAAGGAGGCCAGGTTTTAGGCAAATTGTACACAACAAAAAGAGAAAATATCTCGATTTCATCTAATATAATATCTTGGATTTCAAACTAAGGTTTAAGTTGGATAGAAAAACAAAAGGTCCACACACACATAGAAACTCTGCGAAAAGCTTGTGTTTAAAACACTAACAAACATGAAATCCATACAAGATGATCAATGAAGCAACCCACGCCTACTTAGTCATCGTTCATCATATCCTGGTCTTGGTCATTGTCAGAATCCTCATCATCAACATCATCATCATCATAATCCTTACGAGAGAGAATGTTATTGTAATCGTGATACACCGGACGCAGCAGGCTCCCATCCTTTAGTTGTTTCAGTCCCTCAATGTAGAGTTCCTTGGGTTTCACTACCGCTCGTCGTCGGCGTCGTCGTCGTCATCATCAACAACATCATCATCATCAACAACAACATCATCATCATCATCATCATCATCATCATCATCATCATCATCATCATCCTTACGAGATAGAATGTTATTGTAATCGTGATACACCGGACGCAGCAGGCTCCCATCCTTTAGTTGTTTCAGTCCCTCAATGTAGAGTTCCTTGGGTTTCACTACCGCTTTGCCGCCGACGACTTCGTCGCCGTCGTCATCATCATCAACATCATCATCAACATCATCATCATCCTTACGAGATAGAATGTTATTGTAATCGTAATACACCAGATCCTTGCTCTCATCCTCCTTTTGTTTCTGTCGCTCAGAGTAGAGTTTCTTGAACTCAGCCTTGCGTGTCGTTAGCACATCGTCCACCAACATCATGATTGGTATATCGTCAATCTTGTTGAGTGATGGATACTCGGCCTCGTTAAAATAGCGGGCTCTGACCTCATCATTCATCTGATCATTATATTGCATGAGATAATAAATCATAGGATGGACTGTATCATTTAAAGTCTCCATTGGCACCTGCAAACACACAACAAACGGTGAGTACTTTCAGATTTTAGTGTCACTTTTTTTTTTTTTTTAATGTTTAGATTAACAACTTACATCCAACTTTGACATGATCTCTGTACATGCCAAGATAGCAGAAAGGTTCGATTCATATCCATTAGGACCATTACCCAAACCGAACATTACAGCAGCTCGGCCCAGCTGAATCCAAGAACTTGTTGATGTTACACGTTAACAAATGACAAGGAACCAAAACAAAAAAAAAAACAGAGATGCCTACCTTCGTTTTGGACGACGTGAAGAGAGATGTATCAATTACAGATGTGGGAGTGGGAGGTGGTTTTCCAATTTTATTACATCCGTAAGTCAACCTTGCACAATTGACTTTGTCATGAACCATCCACATTCTATTGTTGAGCATGGAGTGGATCGCCTTGTAGTTGCGCTCAAAATCGATATTACCGAAAGCCAAACTATCACCCAGCGTCTGAGACAAGACTATGGCTCCTCCGAAGAATAAATCACTACCATTGGGTTTGCAATCAAATATTACAAACGTGCGATCGATCTGTAGAACCGAAAAACAAAAAAAAAAATTCGAAGAAAGTTTCCGAGAAAATAATTCAATCTGGAAATCGGAAACAGATACAAACTAAACAAACAAAGAGCGAAAGTCAAGAAAGAAGCTTTTCTTACCTCCATCGGAACACAACACACACGAATCAGTGAGTTTGAGAGAGAGAGAGAGAGGTTTTGTTGTTTCTGAAACACAGATTTGCTTGCTTCTCTTCGATAGATCTCGGTGAATGAAATAGAAGATCTAGGGTTCTTCGCGAAACTTACTACACACGTTTTATAATTAGAAACGACACGTTACGCCAATCACATTCACATAACTATTTTAATTACAGAAATACCCAGGCCCATGTAGCAAAGAGTAAGGCCCATTCACACGTTCAATTCCAGCCCATAAAATGGAGGCATAGCTGGTTGGTTCAAGAAACCTCTAATCGATTACATCTTAAAAGCATCAGTCGTATGCTTCCGCCAAGCATAGTTGCCTCGGTCGTTTCAAAAGAATATATATAAATGGATTCGTTTATACATGGAACTTGCATTCCTCAAAACATCAAGAATTATATATAAGGTATGTTGAAAATTTTGGCATATAATCTAACAATCTTGAATTTGTTTTTAGCCCTTAAATTCTTTCTACAACGTCGTTCTTAGTTTCGAACTTACTTACACTACAAGAAATATCTACATTATTAGCAAGAGATAAGAGCTATTATATGTCATTAATAGCGTTTTCATAAACGCTGTCTTATGCCCCTGTTATGGTAGACCCCCTACATACGATAGCGTTTTTTCCGTATGTTATTATAGAGCATTCTACCATAGCATTAGACAAACGCTTTGATATAACAACTTATAATAGCGATATATATAAGCTATGATCTATAATTTTTATGATGCTATAATATTCAGTGCCATAACTCTAATTTTATGCGGTTGTTTTAAGCTATTTGTATTTGGTGGAACCTGTTTAATTTCAAAATATCCAATATATATATATATATATATATATAATAATAATAATAATAATAATAATAATAATAATAATAATAAACATCCAAAAGATATACATCATTTCATAAACCAAAAATCAATTCATACATAACACAAGTTTCAATCCAATACTTGAACTAATATCCTAACTTCTATATACTACTTTTGCCAAGGAAGTTATTGATGAGATCATGCAAAATCCTTACTTCGTTTTCTAGATATTGGACTCGATTCCTCAAGGAAGTTAGCTCAGCTTCACAGGTTGTTGTAGTCTCTTCCTTTCTCTTAGGTTCTCGAAAAATACTGCTACCTTTTCTCTTAGATTTTCCCCAAATACTGCAGTCTTCATCTATGTCACTGTCCTCAACGACGAGATTCATTATATCTTCTGTTAGAACATGAAATAAAACAAGAAAAATTCAGGCTTCTTGACCACAAACTTATTGAGTCACTTTATTAGTAAACAAATCTCTTTACTCACCTGAAAACTCAACCTGTGATTGAGACATATCTTTAGCCTGAGAAGAGACTAATTCCATTTCCTTTGTACCTTTACTTTCTCCAAGAAACTCAAGACCATCACTTGTATCCAACATCGGTGACTCATAGACATAACTCGAAAACCACTTACTTAGATCAGGAACTTCTGAGAATTCTGAAAACAGAAGTGAAGAACCACATAAATAAAATCAATGCAGTTAAAACAACAAGATATACAAATCTTCCCAACCAGCCAAGCAAATTCGGAAAACGGATTCCAAAAAAATGAGTTACCTTCACTATCATCCATCTCTTAATTCTTTCTATTCGCTCCTCTTTCACCTTGGTATCCTCTACATTGTCTTTGTCGTGAGTGCTTCCGTTAGTCTTTTTCTTTGGCTGCCCGACCTCCACTTTCTATCTCTTTAAGAGCACTTACAGAAATCTTATGCAAGAAAAATATTAGAAGATAAAAAACTTAGGGAAATTAATAAGCAACTAAGAATATCAGCAGCTCTTGTCTATATATATATATACCAAGAGAACATAAGGACATGATTTTGTGGACCAAGAAAACATAAGGACATCGAAATCATCAACATGATGAGTTAAAATGCTCTTTCAGGTTATATCAAAGAGCAAGATAAAGTTAAAGTTTTGTATAAGAGTTAAAACTCTAGCAATCCGAAATCATAGACCAACACAACAATCAATTTGAAACACATATAGAGACATGCAACAATAGCAATTCAAGCAGTTCCTGATCTTGCGAAAGATCAACACTTTAGGTCAATTAAACATAACAGTCTACTCTACTTAGGATCATACTTTCATAATCAGCTTAATGGTCCATATAGGCAAATTATTACACTTTCATCTACTTAGGATAATACATTCTCAGTTATTATACCCAATGGAACCTAAATACAAAGAAGGGGACAATGAAGCTTGAAAACTACACGGGCTAAAGAAGAAACGAACTTACTTCCATTGTAATGGTGAACACCAAATTTAGCAAGCATTGCGTAGTACTCAATCTCTGATTTTCTCAACGGTGGACAATTGTGGAGATTGCAATAATCTTCCCTGTGAACAAAACCAGAATAAACAACAAAACAAAAATCAACACAAAACATTTCAAAACTCTAATTTTTATTCACAACAATTAGATTTTTATTCATAAAACAGTTCTAGTAGTACTAATATCAAATAAGATATGTATAGCTAATAGGAATCAGCTTACAGAATGACAAATAATGTTAAGAAACAAGCAAGCCAATAATGAGGCAATTCGTTGAACACCTGGAGGGCATGAAAAGCATCATCAGAACTTCGGCCAAAAGCTTCTAAGAAATCAATCTAACCCAAATAGATCAACTGAACCCTAACAAAATCTAACTCAAGTGCTCATAAATCAATTGAACCCTAACAAAATCGTACATGCAGAGGAGAAAGAAAAGAATAAAGAGGGAGGAGGCTGACGCAATTGAATGGTGAAGCACCGAGCGTCAAAACTAGTTTGGGGTTTCAGGCCAATGAAATCAAAATCCAATATATCCAGAGCTGTATAATCGTAGGAAGAGAGTGAAGAGGTAAAGGAGAGCTAAGGAGAAGGGAATAATCTAGGAAGAAAGGAAGAATCGAGGAAGAGAGCGAAGAGGTAAAGGAGAGAAAGAGAATGGAGAAGATATATAGAAATTAGGGTGGAGGCCGGCGACGAGCTTTACGGTGGAGGCCGGCAATGAGCTTCACGGTGGAGGCCGGCGACGAGCTTCACGGTGGAGGCCGGCGACGAGCTTCACACGAAATCCCCAATCTCTTTCTTCGATTTGGGATTTTTTTTTTTTGGAGATATGTTTTTTGTAGGGTAAAGTGAAGGGTTTTATTTTTTTGGACTTTGGCTTTAATTTTTTTTGGATCTGAGCCATATGGCGCTTTAGTGAATTATTTCGCTAAGTTTTGGCGGAACGAGTGATTTTAGTTTTTTATTTGGTGATTTTCTATCTTAGCGTTGTTTCAGTGCTATTATATAAAATTAAAATCAAAAACTTATCTTTCATAGCAGTTAAAGAAAATGAGCTATCATCATGTGCTATCAATGTGGAAATTTCTTGTAGTGTTATCATTAGTAAAAATAAGTAAAGATTTATGAAAGTGAAATTTTTCTAACTTTTCACGATGTCTATAATTTTCTATCAGTATTTACCAATCCGGAAGAGACAAAACTGTTGAAGATCGTTCCTCCAATAATACACCTCATGGATCGAGGAAAAGCACGATTGAAAAACTGAAGCCAATCACAATCACATGCACAAGTCATTGATCACCTAGTCGTAAATTTATCGTAGTTTTAGAGAGATTAGGGATATCTCCCGTGGAAGGCCTTCTGTATTTCTTGACTCTTTCTTACTTGTTCTTACGATTAAAGAGATCAGATCATTTGAAAATGAGAATCGCCTAATAAAATGTTTATGCTCTAAAAGAATTTAAATGGTCGTTCGGATTGTTAAGCTTATTGGTTTTTATACAATTTGTGAGTTGTTTTATATGTTACTAATATTATGCATATTCTATTACTTTTTGCTAAAACAAATATTAGTATATATAATATAAATAGATTCATTATTTGAATATGCAAAAAAAAAAAAAAAAAAAAACGAATCTCAATTTGAAACTAACCAAGAAAGGAAAAAAAAAACTAAAACCTAAAAGTAATATTTGATTAAAATTTAATTTAACTACCAAAACTATTTATATAAAATTACTTTTATACTTTGAATACTAAATTACTAATAACCTAAATATCCAAACCGAACCAGAATCTATGTTAGATGCTATCCATGCATAATATTTTATGTTACTCTCAAATGATGTATAGTGTTGAAGATATATATATAAATTCTTCTTAGTACATTGAGGTAAATCCAGAAAAAAAAAATTTATTGTAAAATTATTTTTATCTTATTAAGTTTAACTATTATTTTTTTTTCACAATGAAATCACTTGACCTTCATTGATCTCCATTTGTCGGTTTCTAATTGAAATTAATACAAACAATTAAAATTAGATTATATATATGTTTTAGTAATCTTTTTAACACTTATTTTTTTTGTTCATCCAATCTTTATTCAATTTTTTCTTGCATTATTCCTTATGTTTTATTTTTATTATTTCATTTTTTTTTGTGAAAGACAATACATGTATCATTAATTTTTTAGTTTAATTTGATTTGTATTTGTTTTTTTAATTACAGTATGTGACACTTTTGCAAATAGTCTATATATGACTTTCATTTTTTTTTTTCTTTTTGGTAGGATGGCTTTCATTTATTATGTATATCCTAATAGTTAATATTAAATATTAAATAAATATATTTACAGGATGTCAACAACAAAAAAGACATATATATTTACAGAAAGATTAACACATTTCAATTTGTCCATATTTTGTGTAAGTTTCCTACATCTGAAAATCCAATCTTTCTTTTTTCTTTCTTTCTTTCTTGATTAAGCAATTAAATGTTAAATATTTACAAGCTGTCATGTTCATCACCACCCTCCAAACTCTTTATAAACCCCAAATAAGCACATACTCTCTCTCACACACTTCTTTACCAAAGCTCTTCATCGTCATCTTCCTTGTTGCTTAAACTATGGCTTCTCTCTTTAACCAAGTCCCTTCTGTATCCACAGTTTTCGCCCTCTATACATCTTTATCAGCAATCTCTATGATTCTCCGTAGAATCATCAACGAGATTGTGCTTAAGCCAATCAGAGATTACATCAATGTGAAAGTTGTAGACTTGTTCAC